TAGAACAATACGAACGAGAATACGACAGTTACAATATGCACAAAAAAATAAAATCGATGACAAACAAGAGGAAATTCAATAAGTCACCCAACAGCATAAAAGATAGCGATGGAAATCTTATCTCGGAGCCATCAACGATCTTAAAACATGGAAATCATACATAGAAAAATTATTTGCATCTGACAGGACTGATTATCACCTATATGGAGAAGGAGAAACAGGACCTTCAATCCTTAAATCGGAGATAGAAGATGCCATTGCAGCACTAAAAAATAATAAGTCAGCAGGTCCGGACATTGTACCCTGCGAAATATTAAAGATCCTATGTAAATCAGACAAACAGTTCCTTGATAATCTAGTTGTACTTTTTAACAACATATATAATAGCGGTAAAATCCCGGAGAACTGGCTGCAGTCAACATTTAGGTATTACAATCCCGAAGAAACCAAATTCCCAGATTTGTGATGACTCCCGGCTTATAAGCTTGATCAATCATGTCACTAAAGCGTTCACTAAGATCATTAATAGAAGAATATATGATAAATGTGATTCAAATATTGATAGATCGCAGTTTGGTTTTCGGAAAGCACTTGGAACTAGAGAAGCAATTTTCGCTCTCCAGGTGCTTATACAGCGGTGTAGAGACGTTAATAAGGACGTGTATTTGTGCTTTGTAGATTTTAGAAAAGCATTTGACAATGTCAATCATGAACAATTGATAGGTATTCTGCGAAAGACAGGTATTGACGACAAGGACATTCGAATTGTGGCAAACCTATACTGGGGTCAAACAGCAAGAGCAAAAATTGGCAACGAACTCACTGAAAGCGTGCAGATCAAAAGAGGTGTCCGTCAGGGGTGTATATTATCCCCACTCCTATTTAATATGTATTCCGAGGAAATGTTTAACAAATGTACGGAAAATGCAAATGAGGGCATAAAAATAAACGGCGAGTTAACGAACAATATAAGATATGCCGACGACACGGTAATCCTTGCCAGTACCATAGACGAATTACAACAAGTAATGGAAAGACTTTATTCAGTTAGTGAGGAATACGGCCTGAGCCTCAACTTCAAGAAGACAAAGTGGATGCTGATAAGCAAAAAGCAACAACCTGCTCGACAATTACGTATAAGTAACATACTAATTGACCATGTAAATTCTTACGTGTACCTTGGCACCAACGTAAATGCAAAATGGGAACAGACCATAGAAATTAAGGCGAGAATAGAACGAGCTAGAGCAGCATTTAGCAATATGAAAAAGCTCCTCATAAGCAAGGATTTGTCTCTTCCCCTAAAACTACGTCTAGTTAAATGCTACATTTTTCCGATCTGCTGTATGGCGTGGAGGCCTGGACGCTGACGGAGACGCTAACGAGAAAACTAGAAGCATTCGAAATGTGGGTGTACCGACGCATTCTTCGTGTATCCTGGACCGAACATGTAATCAACATAGAGGTACTCCAAAGAATCGGAAAGGAGAAAGAAATCGTGAATACAATTAAACAAAGAAAGCTTGAATATCTAGGCCACATATTGAGACACGATAAGTACCGTCTGCTACAATTGATTGTCCGGGGAAAAATAAACAGTAAGCGAGGGCCAGGCAGGAGAAGACACTCGTGGCTCCAAAATCTGCGGAAGTGGTTCGGGCTCACATCGGTCGAAGTATTTAGAAGCGCCGCAAACAAGATCAAAATTGCCATGTTAATAGCCAACGTTCGCAACGGACAGGGCACTTGAAGAAGAAGAAGGGATTATTCACCACATCAAACCGTACGATCACATGTAACTGCAGCTCTCCAGAACTACAACCTACAACATTCCATTGGAGGACCTAGCAGCTAGAACACACAAGTAGCCCATCGAACGAAGCAATAAGTATTTCATCAGTTGTTAAGCTTTGGCAGGGTTAATTATTGTGTTTTTTTATTCTTTTAAATAAATATGTTTGGTTAAAATTTGTCTTATTTGCTATCAATTGTGAACTCAGGTTCAATCCCTAATTTAAGACAAGACGAACTCACCGTTGAGATACTGAGCTAGACAAGGTATAGATGATAAGCTCCCATAGTTGATTGAGGTATTATTTTTACAATAGTACTTCAATTCTCTTTGGTAGTCTTATCGTTACAACCTTAGCTAGAAGGTTACACGAACTTTACTTTTTTAAATAGTTAATTAAGGAGAATTTATGTTTTTACCAATCCAATTAAAGTTAATAATATTTAAATATTTGATAACAATCAGTCGATTCAATTTTTGATCAGCAATCGAACAACCAGGTAAAGTAATAAGGATGATAATAATACCTTTTACTCACATGAAAAATGTACACATATAATTACAACATAATTACCATACAATTTAATAATATGTATTACTTTAAATATATAGATATATAATATCGCAAAAAACCATAGAAACCTTTAAAACAATTTAGTTGCGCATGGCCATTTTAGTTTTCATATTGTTTATTTATGTATAATAATATACATAATGATTAAGAAGTAAATTTACATGCATATATACTATGAATATACAGGGTGAGTCATAACTATTGGTACATAGACTAAGGACATAATTTATTTATTTGGAGGTTATTTGGACCAAAATATGGTTATTGGGCCAAATATGCCCTAATACAATGTTGCTGAGAAAAAAGATACAGGGTGTTAAAGTTAATTTTTGTTTTTCGTTTTTTGCTAATAGTTTCCCTGTATATTTATAAATTGCTATTAAAATTGGCACAGAGGCATAATCTTAGACAAGAAATAGTATTTTATTTACAATTTTACGTTTTGTCATAGAGGGCGCCACGTGGATCATTCCTAATGATCAAGTTGAGTCTAAACTTTTTCTGACGAAACTTTTTAGTAATTTTTATTAGAAAATATGACGTAAACATAATTTTTACGTTAAATTGATACTCTTGTTTAAACAAGATAATTTCAACCGTTTTCGATAAAAACTGCTTAGAGTCTTAAAAAAGGATTATAAATAATATATCATTTATGAAAAGTATGCTTTGGACTGTCAAATAATTGTTGTGTGTAAATGTGTAAATGTCATTTGTTCAGAGTAAATTATTTTTGATGTGACAGTGTAGTGTAATGTTGCATTTTTTAAAAGTAATCATTACTTTTTTTGATTGAAATGCCTCGTCACAATCATTTTGACACAATCAGAAGGTATGGAACGTTATACGCAAACAGAAGGCAACCAAATCACAAAACTTTTGCAAGATTATATCGTAGTTTAGGTGAAACTGGGTCATTTCACACTAAAAATTGGGGTGGTCGACCGAAACAAATCACACCTAATCAAGAAGATGAACTTTTGGTTCGAGTAGATGAAAATCCTGAAATAAGTTCACGACATCTATCAGCAGCAACAGGAGTAAGTCAGTCGTCTATTGTTAGAATTTAAAAAAAAGAGAACCTCCATCCTTATTACTCCACTCCTGTTCAAAATTTATTTCCAACAGATCTTCCACGACGGTTACAGTTTTGCCAACGTATTCTGAATAAACATCGCAATGACAGACACTTTATTAAGAATATTATGTTCACAGACGAAGCAACTTCTACCAGACGAGGGGTTTTTAATTGGCGAAATAGTCATTATTGGGAAGAAGAAAACCTTAATTTTCAGCATGAGTTGAAATTGAATATTTGGTGTGGCATTATAGGCGACCAACTACTAGGGCCTTATGTTCTTCCTCCGAATTTAAATGGAGATTCTTATTTAGGTATTCTTTTTGGAAAATACTCTTAGTGATATTTTAGATGATCTGTCACTGGATGTAAGAAGAAAAATGTAGTTTATGCAGGATGAAGCGCCACCTATTTTTCATTAGCTGTTAGAAATCATCTTAATGACGTATTTCCTCAACGATGGATTAGCAGAGGCAGTGATTTTCAACGGCCACCAAGAAGTCCTGAGTACAACCCGCTAGATTTTTATTTTTGGGGACATATAATAAAGTTTTCAGTATTTTATTGTTACATATATAGTCCTTAGTTTATGCCAATGAAATTAATACACCAGACGAACTTTGGAGATACATTCAAAATGCAGCTAATCTTATAAGGGGACAGAATAATATTTTTTATAACGTCCGAAAATCCTTTATAAAAAGAATTAGAAAAGGCATAGAAATCGGAGGAGACCATATAGAACATTAAGTTTGAGTTTTTGTGAGTTCTTTTAAGTTAAAGTGTGTTTAGTTTTGATTTATCGTCAAAACGGAAACCTTGCGTTAGTTGCAACTTTGTTTATTAGTTTGGTATTTGATAGTGGAATTGTAAATAAAATACTATTTCTTGTCTAAGATTATGCCTGTGTGCCAATTTTGATAGCAATTTATAAATATACAGGGAAACTATTAGCAAAAAACGAAAAACAAAAATTAACTTTAACACCCTGTATCTTTTTTCTCAGCAACATTTTATTAAGGCATATTTGGCCCAACAGTCATATTTTGGTCCAAATAGCCTGTCCTTAGTCTATGTCTCAATAGTTATGACTCACCCTGTATAACAAATTTATAACTATTAAGGGCTTATTTTTTAATATTATGTTGTTTCTACCATCTTACTTTCAACTCCAGCTCCTATAACTCCAATTCTCGTTGCCGGAACTGCTCCTTCTCTGAAACTGACTCTTTCATGGCCATAAAACGTTCTAAAATTGCAGCAGTTTTTTGGCCTACAGCATATTCCTCTGCTGCCTTTTGGAGATTACTAATTTTATCTGAAAACAAACATAATACAAACTTATAGAAAACAAAATATTTTGTACATATCTTTTGTTGGAGCTTTGCTACATAAATAGATTATGCTGGACGTTTTGATGTGCTTGGTAATACTATTTCTGTCTCAACTGGACACTCTTCTGGATCATCTAAACTTTCCATTTGTTCTTCAATTAGTACAGCATCTAATTAATTGGTTGTTGGTACAGGATCTACACTTTTATTATTAAATCCCACTTTTTGTACATCAGCACTTTCACTGCTATCCAAGATAATAGCCGCATTAATCTTTCTTCGATTGGGGTTAGTATCTTGCTATCTACTTCTCCACCACCTGACCGTTGTTCAGATTTAATACACTCCCTTTCACGCTTTTTTTTATATGACTCTTCCAGTCGATGAAGGTCTGCAAAATAATTTAAATATCTAACTAAATTACCAATAATAATTATACATCATCAAGGTTCATGGAAATCGTTAAACATTTTAAGAATTGCTGTTCTAATTAATTTACTTGTAGAATGTGTAGATTTGAACGTATCTAGTGTGTTTCAAACGAAAAACCAAAACTTTTCTTTTCAGTCTTAGAAAAAAAAACTTACTTTCTTCCACTGCATTTTTGATTTTTGCGGACTTGAACCCATGGTATTCAGTGAGAGAGTTAACTCGTCCCACAATTTATCAATTATGTTATTATTTGCATCTGACGGTTTTGTTTTACCGTGCAAACATATTTTATGTTCAGACATAAAGTTTAATAAGTAATTTAATTGCTCAGCAGATGTCTTTTTCTTAGGTGTTATGCTTGCCAATTTGTATTCTTCTTCTTCTTTCGTTTTATGGCCTCCACCTCTTGGTACGTAGCCAGCTCATGTATATATTTTCATTTCAATTATAGAAGGGAATTCTCCTCACAGAGATTCTGGAAAAAACCATATTCCCTTGAACTATTTTGGACAATTTATAGTGGATATTCTAAAATAATAATTCTATATACTTCATCTAATTTACATACCGATGCACGTCATTATCTACTTCAGTTGACATAGTTGCCAAAGATTAAAAAAATCCTGACTCCATTTTAAATCAAATAGATCACATAATTATTGCAAAAGTATTACCATCTCTATACAACGACTATTTAAATTCTTACGTGACATTTTTTAAATAAAACACACTAATTTTGTTCTAAACAGAACAGATTTTATTAAATAGGTAAAAATATAAAACAAGAGATATTCACTTTAAAATTCAAAATAGTAAAGTACAAAAAGTGTCAACACCGCAACTGTCAAATAAGTGTTACCAATTTATGCCAAAATTTCACCTTCGTTCGATTACAGTTACAGTGTGTTCCGAACAAATGTTCTTCATAAAAACGCTTCATAATGCATTTATAAAATTAAATGAAACATATTATTGTGTATTTCTTTAAGTTAACAGTAAAATAAATTTTTAAATAATATTTCTACGTGTATATAATAAAATATGTCTAGTGGCTGTAATGCCAGTGTACTCGGCAAAGTGATTCTAAAAAATAACACACCTACCGCCTAAATATTTCGTGTTGGTATCATGTGACGTCACGGGCTATGATGCCAATGACGTGCATCGGTATGTAAATGAGATCAAGTGTATGTCATTAATGATATAGATTTTTCTCCATCTATTAACGTATATCTCGAATTTGGCATCTTGGACAGGGCATCAGTGGTTAAAAGATAGGTTAGGTTGGGTATTTATTTATAATTTACTTACATTTTAATTTGAAAGATATTGATAAACTTACCAGTCGTTTTATTCTTGTAAGGAACTTTTCAAACTTAACCAAAACAAATCAAAACTACTTGAGGACAGCCTTAAATATAATCTTCTTTTTTATGAATTTTTCGCGCGCTATATATAGCCTTTCCAGTAACATGACGTCACAGAACACTTATTTCACTTTTCAGTGCGGAGTTGCCACCAACGTCTGAGTGTGTCACATAGAAGTTGGCGTTTTCGATTTAGACCACGGACCACTTCGGTGATTTGTGATTTAGACCGATTACAATGGAGTTACTGAATGCTAATCCAAACACGAAAACGACGCAATAGATATCCAACATTCCGATTTCGGGTATAATATCGATTATATATTATAATTACGATCCGACATGGTCATTTCTATTCGATTTGTTAAAAGTTACAGCATGATCTCTAAATTATAGCAAAAAATCTTCTTAAAAAAATAATTTTATTGCTCTTTATTAACTCTTTCATCTTAAAAAAAATATATACAGCTTCCGAACTTACCTGAAGCCAAGATATTTTAACAGTTCTTTTGTGTTTAGCAGATGTTTAAATTAATCATAAGTAAAAATCAACTATATTATTATTTTTTACATTTTATTTGTATGTAAAGAAAATAATACAATAGTACAAGTTATACAATATAGGTACATTAATTAGCACTCTTAATTTTGGGAACATCTGTGCCATTAAAATTAACTATACAAATAAATTTATTTATACTAAAATGTATTTTGCAGCAAAATAAATACTTTTAAAATACTAAATTTACTAAGAGAACCTACATAAATGTTTTCAGTTAGGAAACATGGTGCCGATACCTAACAGGTAAAAGCTAAACTAATACATTCGCTTTGTGGTTCAGATAAAACGGTATAGATGTCGCACAGTATAATTTATTATATCTAAAAATACCAAAAATACACTCTCAATTGTATGAAAATTTGTGCTAATTAAAATTAACTATTTAAATAAATTTATTTATAACATATAGAATTACCTAATAAGATGTATTTTTGCACCAAAATAAATACATCTTTACTAAAATACCTAAATAAACGTTTTAAGTTAGGACAAATGGTGCTGCAACCTAACGGGTAAAACCTAAAGTAACGATGTAAAACGGTAACTTCGCTTTGTGGTTTAAATAACGCTGTATAGATGTCGCATAGAATAATTTAGTATACATATCTAAAAATACTTAGTATCTTAAAAATACTTATAAATCAGTTCAATAGTAAGATAAATAAAAATAACAATACAGAATTATTTTAACGTATTTTTTACAAAAATATATTGAATTTAAGTATTGAGTAAAATGTACGCGATCAATAATAATCCAATACATGTGTGGTGACATCTAACTGCGGGGATATTTATATCAAGTATTTCTGGTTACAGAAATGTCTTTTTATACTAAAACATAATTTCTTATATTATACTACTAATGCGAAAGTCAGTAGGTAGGTATATTTAGATATTACACATATTATACATAATTTAAAGTTAGTCAATATATTTTAATTACAAAAACTTTCTGGTAACATACTTTCCTATCCTCCAAAGGAATCTGAATGTTAATAACCGTATTATTACCGCTAGTGTACATTAGATGTCGCTAAAAAATTATTATAATTTTAAAATTTGGAGAAAACAATTTAGTAAAATGGTTTTTAGTAATCAAGAAACAATAATGTCTGTTAAACATATGCACAAAAAGAATTAAAAATAACCTTTAATTTATGAACTGCAAATTATTATGGAAATTTTCACTTCTATATACAATTTACTGCTATGTATTTTTTACATTGTAGTTAAGTTTTGTGTAATATTCATAATAATGTAAAATACTCTTAACAGGCAATTGTTAGTTATTGTGTTTTTAACAATAAGATATCAAAACTACTCAATAGTCGTTTTTAGTGGATATCGAGAAACAGAACAATACAGTAATGCACAGACATATGGAATAGGTTTAAAAAATCAAATTTATTGTAGATTTATCTTAGCTTTATCACTTATTATATTATAATATTTGTTGTAAATTAGTTCTATAAATCTCTAATGCAAACACGGCAGTCAATATTTACTTCGCTATTAATTTTCGACTGATATTTTAAAAAGGTTCATTATCATCATCATCAATTAGCCTATATTTGTCCACTGCTGAACGTAGGCCTCCCGTAAATTTTCCACCTATTTCTATATTGAGCTTCTTGCATCAAGTTTTTGGTGACGTTTAAAAAGGTTACCTTTAATTAATCCTATTACATCATCGTCTTATTCTTCTTCTGCCTCTTTATAAGCAATTCTTCTTGTTCATCGGCGGATTAATACCTCTATGGAAGGTTGTTACTCCATATTTGGCACGGTCGTCGGATACTTTTTCCGATTGGTGACTTATCTCTTGCTATTGTGACGACACGGGTCTCCTCCATTCTACTTTCTACATTCTACATTCTACTGTGATTATTTCATTCATTTTTAAGAGAAGTGAATGTCTTCACTTCTCTTCCGATCTCTCAGCGTATCTCCTGTCATTCTTCTCACTACTCTGATCTATGCTGTTTCCAGTAGCCTTTGCGTTGTTGCTGTGTCGGGTCTTGTTTCTGAGGCATATGCCATTATTGGTCTTACACTCGCTTTATAAATTCTTGAATTCCTCGCAATGTTATTGTGTATGTTTCGCCATATAGTGTTAAAGCATCCTACCAGTCTATTTGAGTTTTGTACTTGATGTCTCACTTCTTTGTCGAGGTCTCCCATGTATTTTATTTCCATTACTTGTTAAATACTGATGCCATCAATTTCTATTTTAGATTTAGGTGGTTCTTTGCTGACTACTATTGTTTTAGTTTTCTGAGATGAAATCGTCATATTAAATTATTCTTTTGCTCTTACGTTAAAACTGTGGACAAGTATTTGAAGTCTATCTTCATCTTGGGCCATCACTATTGCATTGTCTGCGTAACAAAGTATTTTCATTTCTTTATTTCCCATTTTGTATCCTCTTCCTTTGTTAATGCTTTTGATGATTTCATCCACATTGAAGAGCATTGGGCTTAATGAATCCCCTTGTCTTATTCCGCTGCCTATTTCTATAGTTTCTGTAAGTTGTCCATCTATTCTGACATCCATTTTGTTATTTTGTTATATGTTTTTGATAGTTAATAATATTTAGGGGAACTTCTCTATTATACAGAGAATGGATTATATCTTTGAGTCTCACTCTGCCAAACGCTTTCTCTAGGTGAATCAGACACAGGAATGCTTGTCTATTATACTTAAGTGATGCTTTATAGCGAATATTGCATCTGTACACGATCTTCCACTTCTGATTCTTATCCTCTGATTTATTAGCACTTGTAAAATTTTAGTTATAAGTTTTAGCGTAGTATTTAACAAGTTTATACCTCTGTATTTTTCTGGCTGTTTCTTAACTCTTTTTTTTAATATTAGACTTAATTTTCTCGTTCTCCATTCTTCCGGTATTTTATTGGATATAATATTGGTTTTTATAATTTTATTAATTACTGTTGTTAATTGATCTGTCATTGCTGCTCCACAAGATTTCAGTAATTCGTTTAGTATCCTGTCTTTACCTGCTGCTTTTCTGTTCTTTCGGTTTTCAACTATTTTCCGAACTTAATGTACTTGTATATTAACTTCTTCATTTGTGATAATTTCTGGTGTTTCCGGTTCTAGCGTCGTTTGTTTTTTTCTCTGCATAGAGCTTTTTTAGGTAGTCAATCCATCATAGGGTTCATTTTTAGTCCATATTGTTTACAGAAACTTTTTGTTTTGTTTAGAAGTAATTGGAGTTGTTCAGCGGAGCTTGCCATAATCACGGTGTCATCTGTATATCTTATGTTGTCAATAGATCTCCCATTTATTATTATTCCTTCACTTTGAGATAGTAATGCTTCTTCAAAAATGGCTTCGCTGTATACATTAAATAGTAATGGGGACATAAGACATCCCTGCCTAACTCCTCTCCTGATTTCAATTTTTGGACTGGGTTCGATATCTATTATGATTTGTGCTTTTGATTCCAGTAGAGGTTTGTTATTATTCGTAAGTTTCTATTGTCTATGTTTTTTGTCTTTAGAATTTGTACTAATTTTTCATGTCTTACTTTGTCAAATGCTTTTACAAAATCAACATAACAAACATGCACATCAACATTCATAACCATCTTTGAGCTAACACATTAAAAGCAAATAACGCTTCTCTGGTTCATAGTCCGTTTCTGAACCCAACCTGATTATCATCTATTGTTACCACCATTTTTAAAGAGTTCGGCAGGAAGATTGTCCAAACCAGGGGCTTTGTTATATTTCAGTTTTAAAATGGCTTCTCTAATTTCTTCTTTGGAGGGGGGCGGCTCTTGAGCGTTTTCATCTATTTCAGGCAAAGTAATTTCTATTTGGTCTTCTTCACGATTGTTGCTAAGAAGTTCTTCAAAATGATTCGTCCACCTGTTTAGTATCTGTTCTTTGTCGCTAACTATGGAAACATCTCTGTCTTTACATGCTGTTATTCTAGGTTTGAATTCTTTTCTGCAGCTATTTATTTTCTGGTAGAATTTTCGTGAATCTTTTCTATTGTGTTGGTTAACAATCTTCATCATCATCATCATCTAGATATTTAAATTCTTTAACCACTTCGAAGTTTTGATCATTTATAGTAATATTTTATATCGTGAATCGTGATATCAATATAAAGTTACGAATACGAATGCTGCGGTGTTATGTCTTTTCTACCCTGCTATATGGAGTTGAGGCTTGGACACTAAAACAGTTGACCATAAAAAACATCGAAGCTTTCGAGATGTGGTGCTATAGGCGCATTCTCAGAATATCATGGATGGACCGCATCACTAACACGCAAGTACTCCAAACTTTAGACAAAAGATGCGAAATTCTAAATGAGATAAAAACTAGAAAGATGGAATACTTGGGGCACATTGTGAGAGGTGAAAAGTACGAACTTTTAAGAAACATCATGCAGGGCAAAATTAAGGGCAAAAGAAGTGTGGGAAGAAGAAAAATATCGTGGCTTCGTAATCTACGTGAATGGTTCGGGTGTAGTTCGATTGAACTTTTCAGGCGCGCTGCTAACAAAGTCGCAGTGGCCATGATGATTTCCAATCTCCGCTAGGAGTGGCACGAGAAGAAGAAGTAATATTTTGCCTTATTCGCCGTCGTTCTTGTTTTGAGACGAGTATGTATTTTGTTTTGTCTTCATTTATTTTTAGACCGATGTTTATTGCAGCTTCTTCAAAGCTCGAGAAAATATCCTTAATTTCTAAGATTGATTGTGCCACTGCGTCTACGTCATCGGCAAAGGCGAGTAAGATTTTTGCTCCTCGAGCAGTTACGTCTGGTTTGATTTTTGGATATATTTTTCGCATGACATATTCTAAGGCCAGGTTAAACAACAATGGAGACAACGGATCTCCCTGTCTCAGTTCAGAATTTACGCAGAAAGCATTTGATATTTTTCCCCCTATTCTAACTTGTGCAAAAGAGTTACTTACACACATTTGTGTTACTGCAGCTAGTTTCTTGGGTATGCCGAGCTCGATCATTGCCTTTCATAATGTTGCACGATTAATTAAATCATAAGCCTGTTTGAAGTCTACAAAAATCTGATGGACGTCGTGATTATATTCCCAATACTTTTTAAGCATTTGTCTTATTGTAAATAATTGATCAATAGTCGATCTGCCAGGCCTGAAACCACACTGGTAGTCACCAACTATTTTTTCGGCGTATGGTACTAATCTTTTTAATAATATCGAAGCCAACATTTTATATGTAGTGTTGATTAGTGATATTCCTCTGTAATTCATTCACACCACACCATTCTTTCGGCATTATTTCTTGTTGCCAGGCCATTTCTATTAATTGATGGATTTTACTTATGAGTTCATGACCGCCTGTTTTAATTAGCTCAGCATCAATATTGTCCAGACCAGGGGATTTATCGTTTTTAAGCGTTTTTATAGCATGGGTAATTTCTTCCATGCTTGGTGGGGGTATTTCTAATTCGACCGTTTGATACTCATGTTCTCCGTTGTTTCCACCATTTTCATTGTTTTCATCAGTGAAATTTTGGATATTCAGGAGCTCTTCAAAATATTCAGCCCATCTTTTTATTATTTTGTTTTCGGCAGCCAGCATTTCTCCATTTTTATCTCTTACGAAGTTGGGTGTGCTTATATACGAGCCTCTCTTATGTTGTTTACCTCTCTGTAGAAATTTTTACTTTGATTTCGTCTGTGTTCTCCTTCTACTTTTCCAATTTGTTGCTGCAGATATTGTCTATTTTTATGTCTAAGTGTTCTTCTAGCTGCGGCTCTCTGTGGAATCGTATACGTTTTTCTTATGATGGATTCGACAGATAATCAATACTTCTTTTGTTTGCTTCTTTAAGAGTTCTTTCACATTCGTCGTCGAACTATTTTTTCTTTTTTTTTGTTTTGGTTAACAATCTTGTTTAGAGCATTTTCGTATGGCTCTTTCTTTTTCCTTCTAAACGTCCTTTTTCTTCTCGTCTAAGATTTTCGTAGTCTTCCAGGTTTGATCTAGTTCTGCGCTGCTAAAGTCTCTAAAGCCGGCCACTCACGATACAGCGGCGTTGTTTAACTTCGTCGAGTTCGACGAATTGACATGGATTTTGATCGTGTGTGACCGTGCATCCAACGAAATCGTACAATTTGACCGCATGTCTGCTGCAGTACTGCAGACTTGATCCCATCAATTTGTTGAGCGTATGTGACCGTTTACAATTTGTCGATACTGCAAAAATACATTTTTAACTACACACTTGCTTTGATCATATAGAAAATCGACATAGCCTGATTTAGTGAGAATTTTTTAAGAGTTTTTTTAATTATATAAAGGACAAGAATGTTTATGGCATATTAAATGTAAAATGTATCACGATAGAAACGCCCGAAAATAGGCAATGAACATTCTAATTTTAAAGTTCCAAGAAGTAAACAAAGATGCGAGTCACGAGTATGTAAGAAAAAAAAATTAACAATTTTAGAACATTCTATAAAAGACAATTAAAATTAGAATTGCATTTAAGTAAATCAGGTGCAGACGAGATTTATTTTGGACCAAAATCTTGCATTCTTTGCACCAAAATCTGTTTTTTATTTAAGGTTTCGTTTTACGCTTAGTTATACACAAAGCAAGAGACGCTAAAATGATTGTTTGATTTGACACAGCGAGAACCGAATAAATACTGCGGCGCAGTACGGTGTGTGGGCGCACCAGATATGCCAACAAATTGATCAACGCCGCTGTCCGATTTTGTCGACCGACACCGCTGGACCGTGAGTGGCCGGCTTTATATGCATTCTGTAGTAGTAGTAGTAGTTATTCTGGATAGGTAATCTGTGTCGAGGTTAATGTTAGGGGATCGGGGATCGAATAAAATACAATGTTTTCCAAATAAATGTATATATTTATTATACTGCTCAATGAAAACACAGTCACAACATCTCGGCTAGCCCGTAGGCGTCAGTTCGCCTGAAGGGGGCCGAAACAATTGCTGTACACCAAATAGTAAAATTGTCTAATGTAACATGGATTACGGCACACGCTAAATAAACAAAAAGCAACGTAGGAAAAGTGCTTCTTAGCACAACTATGAGTACTTTGTACGTATATAGTATAGTATACGTCGCCACGCTTCCTCTCAAACGCCATATACCAATCTGTTCCCCACCGCCCTACCAACCATCTATATATATTATATAAATTTTTATTTACAAATTCATTTAAAAATTCCTAAAGCTTATTTTTTATTAAATGTATCAACCTAAAATTTCTACAATAATTTTGTCAATACCAAATTTTGATTTACACCAATATAATTATAAAAATACTCTTAAATTTTTACACATATAAACTTTTCGGTTTGGACGGGCGGTACGGATGATTAAATAATTTTGAGCTATCTCGCTTTTTTGTACTAAATATACATTCTTATTCGATTCTATCGACGTAATTTCTTATTTTCTACTTACGGAGCCTCGTGGCGTTACACCAGTGACCTAATCTCGACAACTTCGGCCACCATCTAACCATGTTTAGACAACTCATGGTTTACCCAACATCTTCCATTTAAAACAAAATTTAACTTAAAAGTGGTTCCAGTTTCAATCGCATTATAATTCAGTTTTAACGATGAAACTGTTAATAGTAATTACTAATTTATCGATTTTTTTATTGATTAATCTTGTGCTTACCAACATTTGTTACAAATATTCTAATGTTACATTGTGGATAATAAATGAGATATTTTTAATTGTTTAACTGTATATAATTTTCATTATTTCTCATCAAATTGTATCTTAATGAGAATGACAATTACAAGAACTTTTCCTTCCGCAATAAAAACCAAATATAAAGAACTTAATGTTTGTGAAAGATTTCAATATATACGTGAACATGTTTTTGAACTTTTCTCTGTTTATAATATCTATAACAGGATTTTTTTATTTTAATTAAGATTTTATAGTAAGTAGAGTTTTAATATTTTTTATTCCTATTGTCTCGATTTAAAACACTCATCCTAATTTTTGAACTGTGTTTGCGACCTGGAACTTTTTAATTCTAGATTTTTCTTAGTTAAAAGACAAAACAATATTAACTCTCAACTAGAGTGAGGAAACTTATGTAAAGAACTAATTCCGGTTCTATGGCAGAATTTTGAATGTCGACTCTGAATTTTATTTATGGTTATGGTGAAATAGACAGAAAACTATATGAAAAACCAAGCAACAATTGTGATTCAGTAAATTTGTACTGTAAAGTGATACTAGTAGGACAGTTTTGTGGAAGTTCTGATTTTTTCATTCCACATGTGTTTTGGGGTGCTAAATCTGAATCTGAGGTTTGCGGACAAAATTTCGTGACGCAACATTTAAAAAACCAGAAGAAATCGGTTTTTTTTTTTTTTTTTCCGGTTTTTTGCTTAAAACTCGAAAACTGTTAACTTTTAGTAAATGGTCTGTTTACAAAAATTAAAGTACTTAAAGTTCTGTACAAATGTCACTATTTTGGTTATTGTACAGACGAACCGTTCGGTCTCAAGTGCAAGTTAAAAATTGGCAATTGGTACCGGTGTGACTGCAAAACCCACTTTTTAGATTTGTATTAACGATACAAAATATGTCATCGACGAGGGTTTTTGTTACACCTGGTAAAATGGCGCCAAGGTCAGACATATGCAGACATATGCAGCAGTTATGTATCATATGTCAAATCAAACTACAAATCAAGAGCTATTGTCGTTTTTAATGGCTACCCTGACGAGGCTTGTGGTAGCACCAAGCGTTTAGAACGATTGAGAAGTGCACAAAGAAAACAATCTGCTGCAATATCATTTACAGAAATGATGGTGCCCACTGTGTCGCAGGATAGTTTTCTTGCAAACCCAAAAAACAAGAGCCGGTTTATATCTATGTTAATGGAGAAACTTCATGATGCAAAAATTCATTCAAAGAAAGCTATGGAAGATGCTGATATCCTAATTAACAGCTCTTGAGATGACCCCGTCAAATAAACATGTGAGAGTGGTAGGGGAAGATATCGACCTACTGGTCATTTTGATTGGCCTTTGTAGCCCTGATATACATAATGTATTTTTTTTGAAGCCAGAAATATGAAAGGTTTCGCAAAGCCTCTACAACCCTTATCTGGCTGCTGAGAAAATCCTATTGGATCATATTTTATTCCTGCATGCGATGAGTGGTTGTGATACTACTTCTACATTGCTTAATCAAGGGAAACTGAAATTTCTTAAAGTCCTGCAGAAGAACAAAGATTTGCAATCGGTAATTGAAGCTTTCAAAGACCCTAATTCAAGTCAAGATGAGATTGCCACAGCAGTAAACATGTTTCTCACGGCTCTATATGGAAAAAAGAGACAAATCTAAACGATTTAAGATATAAACAATACGTATCTTCATCATTCAAAAATAAGACCAACATTTCCTCATTGCCCCCAACTAAAGCTACTGCATGAGAACATTTACTGAGAGTTTACTATCAGGTGCAGCAGTGGTTATCCGGTCAAGCCACACCTAACGAGCAACAAAAAGACCCAAGTGAATGGGGATGGTAAAAAACTAGTAGTGGTTTTGTGCCAGTACCAACTACTTTGGACCCCTCACCAAACTCAATACTCGGTACATTTCATGTAAATGTGAAAAGGGCTGTCAACGCAATTGTGGATACAGGAAGGAGGGACTCCATTGTTCCCCAATATGTGCATCATGCGAAGGACTGTGTATCAATGTTGAGCCCCCAGAAGACAGCTCTGACATAGACGTAGAAGAAACTGAGGAAAGAGAGAGAGGTATGTTGGATCTGACAAGTTATTTTGTAGTCACTCATCTCTCCTTGATATATGATATGTGTCTCTCCTCTTTTTCTTTTCCAGGAGAACGACCCCCGACGCTGACGATGGAGCAATCAGACCCTGAGTCAGGACCCGATGCCATCGAAGAACCTCAGTACGATGCGGAAGGTATTTTTAATCTCACAATCTATTTTGCAATCTTCATCTCTTCTTGATAAATGACTTTAAACTTTTATTTTCCAGAACAACCAGAACCAGGACTCATCGTTATCGAAGAACCTCAGCCAGGGCCTTCGAAAAGACAACGGCTCATATACATTTTGCATATTATAATTTATAATTATAATAATATATGATCATATGTAACGAGATTTTAAGTTTTATTTTGTTACGACTTCTACCTACCTACTGAATTTGCATACTTTTTGCCTTTTTTTCTTTTAATTACTTGTGCGGAAAACCAGGTGACATTTATCAAATGACAGCATCCATAAAAATTAAAAATTGAAATGTAAAAAGTGGGTTTTGCATAAACTGCTAAAAATTTACAATTTTTAACTAGCACTAGAAGCCTGGACCTTCAAAATCAACTCACTCAGGCGTTTGGAAAGTTTTGAAATGTGGTTATTTCGAAGGATGCTGAAAGTCCCTGGACAGCGCATATGAGCAACGAGCAGGTCCTACACAAGATGGGTACCGACAGAGAACTCTTAAAAATAATGAAAACACGGAAAACCTCATATTTGGGACACATATACAGAAATGAGAAATACCAGCTACTGCAGCTTCTTATAGAGGGAAGGTAGAAGGAAAACGTGGTCCTGGTAGACGGCAGGCGTCCTGGTTGAAAAACATTCGTGAGTGGACTGGTTTGGATTCTCAATCTTTAATAAGAAAAGCCAGGAACAGAAATGATTTTGCTGAGGTTATCGCCAACCTTCATTGAAGACGGCACCCAAAGAAGAAGAAGAAGCCGAACGATTCGTCTGAAAAAAAAAACTAAATACTGGTATTTGTAGAAAATTTCAAGTACTTTAATTTCTGTAAACAGACCATTTACCAAAAGTTGATAGTTTTCGAGTTTTAAGCAAAAACCCGAAAAAAGAAGAAAAAACGGTTTATTCTGTTTTTTTTTAATGTTGCGTCACGAAATTTTGTCCGCAAACCTCAGATTCGGATTAAGCACCCCAAAAAACATATGGACTGAAAAAATTAGAACTACCCTAAAACTTTCCTAGCAAAAATACAATTTAACTGAACTATTGCAAGATAATAATTAGTAATGTAAGTTAATAATGTAAGAAAGACATATACTTAATGTTTCTTCTTAAAAATGCGATCTTAACAATAAGCACGATATTTTATATATTGGTTTAAACGAAAAAATCAACAAAAGAATCATTAAGAAACGATGAAAAATGTTTTCCATTCTATTTTTTCGGTAAACATGTTTGTTTTTAATCAAGCCAGTCATATGTTAGTTGTTTTTTTTGTTCTTTTATATTAATAGTTTCAATTTTGCATGCGTACAATCAAATTTACTTTTCATAACTTTTGTTAAAACTTCCCTTTGTCCACGTAAGATAATTTTTGACTTCTTTTGTGCATTTTTCTGGTATTCTATTATGGTGTCACTAATCCAAATGTATAGGAGAGTTTTTATGGCATCTTGCTTGATTACTATAAAGTTTGCAAGATTGATTTAAACTCAATGTTACTACTGAGAGAGACGGAGAGAGAGAGAATGAGAGAGAGAGACAGTAATAAATGTTAAATGGTGTCATTTCTTAGATGTATATTCATTACTACGACTAATATGTGCTAGAACTACGTAATAATCCGACTATTAAAGGACCAAAATGCTTAAATAAAATATTTCTTATATATTATAATGATCAGAATTTATGCGAAATAATGGCCTATAATATTTGAAGAATAAAAAAACGATACACGTGGTATCATCTTCACTTCTTTCTCCAATCGTACGATTAGAACATGAAAACCATTACATGAGGAACTATTTTTTATTATTTGAATTTTTTCTTCGAAAGCAGGCCATTTATTTACAAAGTCTGAAGGTTAAAGGCAATTTGCTTTTTTCAATAAATAAACAATAAAGATAGTATTAAGAAATTTTTAATTTTAAAATTCCATCCCTTTACTACTTACGTAAATATCTATCAGTTTTTTCATTCGTGAAAACATTCTTATTCGTGTCATAGCTATACTGAGTTGACTATTATTGGCAGTTGTAAATGTACACAATCATTGGTTTGTTAAATTCGTCATTGACGAAATGGCAAAATACTGATTATTCTTCTTCACTGCTAACACAAGCCTTATTTTGAACTTGTACAAGCTCATGTCATAGGTTCTATGTTAAGTCTTCTTTTTTCACCTTCCTGTGCCCGATTGTGCCCTGTGCTCGATTATCATGTGTTGGCTATCAATTCGCTATACTAATTTTGTTGACAGCAGCTTGGGAAAGGGTTACAGAAAATCCATTAAACCGTTCCTTCAGGATTCTAAGCCACCACGGTGTTCTTCGACCAGGTTCTTTTGTTCCATCTTCCTTGTATTATTAAATGATTTCAGGGTGATGCATAACATGGCCAAAATATTTCAGTTTGCGATCTGTTACCGTTCTAAACACTCATCCGCTGCAAAACAACTTCCTTATGAACTCTATCTACACAACTTATTCGCAAAGTTCTTCTCTCTAGTTGTTCTCCATAAG